CCCTTTAAGAAACAGCTGGGAATCCAGAAAACTAATTAGGAAATCTACACGATTCAGAGTGAAAAACTCCTTGGGAATTTATCGGTGGCCTCGGAGAAATTTCCTCCTTGATTTTTCAGGTAATGAAAACAGTGGCTGGCTGGGCTGGTACCCAAATATAATGTTAGATACCATTTAATGAACATTTACTATGTTCCGGGCAACTTTCTAAGGGCTTTCTACATATTAACTCATTTAGCATTTACATTAAACCTCTGAGGTCTGATTATTCTCATTTTGTAGATGAGGGAAACAAAGCACAGAGAGGTAGAGCATAAACTGGCCAAGGACTCGTTGAGTGTGCGTGGTAGAGCCTTAGCAGAAACCGGGTCCAGCCAACCCCTGGACAACACTGCCTTGTGTGCTACAGGAGATCAGATGTGAATGCTGCTCAAAGGACCAAGCCCAGGCCAGCCCAGCCCAGCCCAGCCCAGCCCGGGCCCCTGAGTACAGGGCAGTGACCATGCACAGCAGGACTCCTGAGGGGACAAAGCATGTGGCCATTGCAGACCCAACAATCAGCCCAGGCCTGTCCAAAGGTGAGTCAGGAGCACCAGTTGCATCAAGCCCCAGCTCTGCCACTCATTGCATGGCACTGGGCAAGGTACCACCAAACCTCTCTGAGTCTTAGCTTCCTCCTCATTAATAGGGGGAGTGAAATTAGTGTTGGCTTCATAAGGTTTTTGTGAAAAATTCAACGAGCCCTGTAAAGTTTGTAAAGGGCTTAGCATCAAGCTAAGCACAAAGAAAATGCAGAATAAATGTTAGCTATTAGTGTTATTATTATTCATTATTTTTATGTTATTATTCATTATTATATTTCATTTCTGCACTCCCTTTTCTCCCAGGGGCTGCTGTGAGTAAATAAGTCGTTCTTTTTGGACACAGAGGGATATACAAGATGGTTTGGGGGACCCCTCCCTCCTAAAGATTCTTAGATCATCCATCCCCCTCATCAGCCCCCCTCATCCCTCACAGTACTTGTAGTCTCTCTGAAGTCAGTTTCCATCCTTGCACCCCAGGTACCCTGGCTCCCTGCCTGTGGTCCCCACTGGCTGGATGCTGTTGCTATGGCAATGGCATTTTAAGAGCCTTCAGCTCCTCTCTGAGGCAAGAAGCATGTATGGAGATGGGCTGATCAAAAATCTCTTGCATTCTCAGTCCTGTCTGGATGGAAGGCAAGAGAGTGGAATGCAAGAATCAGGGCTGGCTTAGGGTGGAGGGCCAGCTCAGACTCCAGCCCCAGGTGTTTCCAGACAGCAGCCCCCACCTCACCGTGTCACATGGCAAACACCTGAGCAGTTGGTTACAAATGCAGATTCCAGCTACCACTGGCCCTAAGTGTCTGATTTTAATATCTGGGGTGGGAACCCCTAGGAAGCTGCCTTAGATTAGCACAGCTACTGGTTCTGAGGCAGACAGGCTCCAGACCAAACTTGATGAAATCTTAAGTCTTTCAAGATTCCTGAAGCCATTTTGGGCGTTGAGGTTTGTGTGGCTCTCTCCGCTGAGATGACTCCTGAGAAGGCCTGTTTGTCCTCCTAGGCCTGCTCCAGTCCTGCCTCCCTCTCTTTCCACAGCCTCATCTGTGGGAGGATGTGTGCCCCACCCTCTTCCCAGAGCCAGGAAAGTTCCACGGCGAGGCTGCCACCAGTCACGCTGGTAATGCATGCAAAGGCAGAGACGGGGCACAGTCTCCGGATAATGACATTTAAGGGAGGAGCTGCCAGCGGTTACTACTCTGGGCAGGATGAAGGGCTCGCTGTCCTCTAGAGACGCCGAGATCAAAGGTATAAAGGCCTCTGCCCAGTGCCCTCACTCCCCCCACACCGCCTAGCCCATCCCTAGGCACTAACCGGCCCCCAAGGCCAGTGGCGCCAGTGAATGAATAAATAGATGGGTAATTTGCTTGAAAACACCCCCTTTATTTCTTTCCTAGGCTCACCTCCCTGCTCCTCCCCAACAGGTTTCTGGGGTCATTGTCAGATACACGGGCACTTGGATCCTTGTCTTAGGGTCTGTTTCCATTGGACCCTAAGACCAGAAAGCATTCCCAAATCTCCCACTCATGGTTCCATATGAGGACAACTATGCCTCTTGTGTCCCAAAGGGAAGCTGTGTACCCCTGAACTCCAGCTGGCCATGTGGCCTGCCTAAGGCTGAGACCTCTGCAGGGGGTCTGTACCCGGGGTGATGGAGCTAGCCCCAATGCACCCTGCTCTGATCTCCACTCTCTATTCTCTGTGTGAAGGTCAGGTCTTCCCAGAATTTTCTGGTGTCAGTTCTCGTCTCCTTGGCACAGGCCAAGTACACACTGAGTGCTCAGGAACCGCGTCCCCACCCCGGCACCCCCTGGAGCCTGTGGGGGCTCCCAGCTAGAGGGAGGCGGGGGGACTTGTCTGGGGCGAGTCCTCCAGAGATGTCTGTGAGTCTGTTCCCTCGGAGGAGGAGCTCCCCTCTGCGGGGAGGGGCATCTGACTCTGCCTGGGGAGCCGCTGCCAGGAGAAGAGGGTGGTGAGGAAATGCTCAGGGGCAGGATCAGGGGGCTCACGGGGGCCCCTGCCTTCATCAGCCTCTGCGGCCTGGCCAGCATCCTGGGGCAGAGGGCCTGCCTGCAGATGTCGGTTCTGTGCTCCTCTGGGGGCCTGAGGAAGCCAGCGGGATTTTGGTAAACGATTCAGGCCCAGTGAGTCCTGGAGGGGCAGGTCCCACCTTTCCTTGGAAGTGACCTCTCCATTCAGACCCTGGCCCTTGGCGGCTGCCCCTCGCAGTTCCGGGTGTGCTGAGTGGGCAGTGGGACCTGCTGGGCACGGACAGTGGGCCAATGCCTTCCTCAGGAGGGTCTGGATCTCCCCGTGTCTCACCCGGGCCTCCTCCCACAGATCCTGGCCCAGGCCTTCCTGGCTCAGGGAGGCCACCTGCAGCCCCATGGCCGTGAGCTTCTCAGCAGGGAACTCGGACGCCAGACGCTGCAGGTAGCGATGGAGGCGGCGCTGGTCCCCAGGGCTGGCCCTTTGGGCCTTGCCCATTCGGAGCTGGGTCATCAGGTCCTGACAGTCCATGTGGAACCAGGCCATCTGGGAAGCAAAAAGAGAGGGAAGTGGGATTCAGGCCAGGAGCGGGACTATGGGAGCTCCGTGAGGACAGAATGGACCTCTCCGAGCAGAGAGAGGACTTGAAGATTAAGTATCGCTGGGTTGAATTAATAATGTGTCCCCCCAAAATGTTAGCCCCCCCTACCCAGATGACCATGATTTTCCCTGCTGACAATGATGACAGTGGCTACTCTCTCTTCCCCAGGGTACACATACCTGCCACCAGGAAATGGTCCCCAACACCCTTGGGAACTTCAGGCACATTCTGACACACCTAGGGGCCAGTAAGGACTTACGTCTGACTCTCTGGGGCTCAGTTCCTCCTTCCGTAAAATGAGAGGTCCTACTAGATGGTCATGAAAAGCTTTTGGAGAGCCGAACACTCGGACTCTCGGTTGCATTAACCCCTTGTGAACGGTACTGAGATCGGAGCCTGGCTCATATTTATTGAGCACCGCCTGTCTGCCAGGCTCTGTGCATCTCACGTCTGATCACGACAAACTGTACCAGCAGCCCACTCGACAGAGGAAGAAACTGAGGCTCAGAGACATGAAATCACTTGCCCAGGTCACACTGCGAGTCAGGGAGTTACCGGGATTCGAACTCAGAGGGTATCTCCCTAGCAGCTCCTTGCACAAGAGAAACGGGCCCAGGCAAGGCCAGGCCAGCGAGACCATCAGCCAACCCAGGTCCGGCGGCCCCCTTGCACCAGCCCCTCTGTCCCATTTTGGGATTCTGCCTGTTCCCCACTTCACCCACAAAATGTCCGCAGGCTGCAAAGGAGCCAACGTGTTCCCAGCAGCTTGTGAAAAACATAATCTTTCTCTCCTTTAATTTAGAAGCCGACAGCGAGCTGTTAGGCTGTGGGGATTGGAGAACCATTTTCTCTGAGGAAACCATCTTTCCGTGAATTAAAGGAACTTGTCTTTAGATAAATGGCTTCATATTCGCGGAAGCACACGGAGCTCATGGCTGGGAAAGGCCTCCATAAATCTCCGTTAGTGGCACAATCATGTTATTATTATTTAGTGCCAAAGCTGCTGTACGCATGCTCTCCACCCAGGGCTGAGCCCAGTCCTGGGCTGTCCTGTCTGTCTGTCTGTCTGTATAGGACTCCATCTTCTAGGCAGAGCTAGACAGAGATGGATAACACCTCGGAAATCATCTTGCCCAAACTCTTGTGTTGGTTAAAATTCAGGGCCAGAGGGGAGAAGGGGCCTCACCAGCTCAAACAGCAAGAGACGGCCACAGCGGGCCTAAGGTCAGGGCAGCCGCCTCCTGTACAATTTCTAGGCCTGGGTCAGACTCCACCTCCCCACACGCCGCCCCCAGCCTTCTTTCCTCTGCCTGATTCCTCGCCCTTCCTCCAGCCACCTGGCCAGCCATCCACAGTGGTCACTGAGCCCCTCTGGGTGCTGGCCTTGCGCTGGGCACTACAGACAGCACCAGGACCCAGTCAGATCCAGTTACTGCCTTGGGAGCTCACCTCACAGGTGACAGACCAGACACAAACAGGTGATGAAGCAATAGGATACTTTCAGATCACACAGGGCCCCATGAAGCGATAAGCACAGGGTGAAGAGAGAGAATGGGGGGCAGGTGGTCAAGAAAGGGCCTCTGTGAGGAGGGGACACGTGAGCTGAGCGCTGAAGAAAGACAAGAAGCCGAACGGTGGAGGGGAAGAGTCTTCCCCGCTGAGGGAACAGCAAGTGCGAAGGCCTCGGAGCTGGAACAAGTTTGGTTTCTCCAGAGAAGACCAATAGGGCTGAAACTGGCTAACATTGATGAGCAAGACAGAAGCTTCCAGACACCCTTAATCCCTGAGGCATCACTGCTACCAATGATGATGATAATATTGGTGTTAAAAATAAAAATTCCAAATCTGAGCAAAGCCCCAGGGGGAGGGCACTTACATTTGATTTAATTCTCTCAGCAATTTAATGCTGCCCAGCAAGGCTGGCACTGGAGTCAGATGCTCTGGGTTTGGGTCTCAGCTCTGCCGCTTCCTAGCTGTGTGACCTTGGGTGAGTTATTTATTTTCTCTGTGTTTCCTTGTAGACAAAAGGGGCATAATAATAGTACCTGCCTCATAGGGTTAGTGTGACAATAAAACCATGTGTGAAATGACTAGAACAGGGCACATAGTAAGGACCACGGAAGCATTGGTTGTTATTGTTGTTGTTGTTGTTATCATCATCATCATCATCATCAGCGGCATTGTTATTGACCAGGAGCTGAGGCCCAGAGCAGTGAGACTGTCTTCGAGGCCGCACAGCCCACACAGGCGTAAGCTGCCTCGCTCTCTCACTTCTGTGCAGCTAGGAGTGGGGAGAGTCCTTCGCTGTCATGGCCCACATCTGCCTCCCTTGCCTGCTGCCCCAGGGAGACAGAGAGTGGCCTGTCCACCCAGCACCCCAGGCATGACTGATCAGAGTCCCTCCCGCTGCCCTCTGAAGCAACCTGTGTTCTCTGCCCTCTGTGTGATGGGCAGGGCTGAGGTCAGGCTCTTCCCACGCTCTGTCCTCGGTGGTGAGTATGAGGCGAAGCTGAGGGCACTGGGTCCAGGCCAGAGATGCGGGTTCTTGTCCTGTCTGGGTCACAGCTCTCCCAGGCTGCTTCCCCGCCCTCCTAATAATCGTCTAATCGTCAGCCTCATGCTGCTTGGGCGTGACTATTGGTTGCCATTCCCCGTCCCCCTTTCCGCCTTTGGAAAAGAACACAGGGCATGTTAAAGGGCACGGAGACATCTGTGCTCAAATTCCAGCCCTTGTGTGGCCTTGGGCAAGGCCCTTCCCCTCTTCGGGTCCCAGTTTCCTCATCTGTAAAACGGGCTGATCAGCTTTGCCATGCTGGGTTGCCAAGAGATGACAGATGCAAAGTAATGGCGTTCCTCTTGCCTCCCACCCCAATACTGTGTGTTTGTCCCTCACTCCCACCCCACCACAGTAATCCCACCTTCTTCTGCACTCTCTTGGCCAAACTCTGGGTTCCTGGCTAGGACTGAGCCTCTCTTCGGAGCATGTTCAGAGCAGACTCTGGGCCTACCCTCAGCCAACAGCCCCCCACCCCTGCTCACGTCATCTGAGCAGGCAAGAGAAGGCATGGGAAGGAGCACTGTAGTGGTGCCATGGGCTTGCTGTGTGACCTTGGCTACGTAACAGCCCTTCTCTGATCCTGTTTCTCCAAATCCGCAACAGAGGGGTGAGGCAAGATCAAGGTTCTTAAGCCTAGTCTCGATCCCTGAAGCTGCTCGCAGAGATCTACGGGTGGAGAGAAAGCCTGTGGATTCGATCGGATTTTCAGAAACCCCTAGGCTCCTTCCCCTAATCCCAACATTTAAGAAGCACCCGAGG